GACCTTTTTGACAGTCTGTTTTGACTGGCCTGTGATAGCATCCCTTGTGACAGACCTGCAGGGAAGAGGTAGGTTGATGAGCCAGGGCAAACTCGGATGACTGGAAAGGTCGTTGTAACCCAGCATGCCGAGTGTGAAGGCTATTTACGTTCTCATGACTCATTCTGCAGTCCATGAAGCTGACAGTCATGGAGTAGGGTAGCTCAGGAAGGATGGCCTATGCTTCTGGAGATATTGGTCCTCTATTACGCACTTGGTTCTGTCTCTGACCTTTTTGCTTAATCCTGGGTGGGTCACTTGGGATTCAGTCCAGGTATCGTGGAGGTCTAATGACAAAACTCGAGGTCGGCTCAGTGGGAACAGGACTAAGTCTTTGTCCTTGGCACTGTCTGCTTACTATGTTTTGCACATAACAAGGTCCAGGCTTACCAAATGCTGTTTTCTGTAATGGAGTGCCTGTTAGTGCAAATGGCTGCTAGTTTCTAGTGACCTTAGAATTTATTTTTGTTTTTTTAATTGGTTTGCTGGGTCAGGACCAGGAGGGTCATTGGCACGCTTTGTTTTGAGGGGAGTGGGCTGCCAGCATGTTATACTCATTTATTGAGTTTGTATATGTTATACTAGATTTGAATAGAAACATTGTGATTAGGAAAGCTGTTTCATGTCTCTGCAATTACTTTCTGTGCTGTAAAATCATTCTTCCAGACCCTTGTTCTGCAGTGATTCTCACTATACCCTTTGCACAGGTGACCTTAGACAACAGCAGCAGGTAAAGAGTGATCCCTGTATTCTCTTCCACTGTCAGGGAAAGAACACTGCAGCCAGGATCTTCTTTTTTTGAGGGGGTGGGGGATTGTTTGGTTTGCTTTTTTTAAACTGAGCTGTCTTTTGAGAGCACTGCTGTGTGGACACATGCGAACAATGCAGTTAGTGTGGATTTCAGCATAGTATACCACTTATATGTGAGCACATCCTTTTTCTTCTCTATCGTTACTTCTTTACACCATCTCAACTTCTTTCTTCCCTCTAGCTTCTGTTTTCATTGCTTTGTTTCATCTAGCAATGCCCAGGATACCTCATCCTGAAGCTTTTGGTAGCCTCCTCTCCTCCAAGTCAAAGGTGCTACCTTCCTTTCATACCCCCTCTATGTTGTACTTGACTCATCTTGTTCAGGGTTAAGTTGATATTTGTGCCTAAAACTGCGTGTGTATCTATGTCTGCACCTGCGTACATCAGTGTGGAAACTTGGGAGTTCCAGTGTGAAACTAGTTTCTGTACAGTAACGTAAATGGAAAACATTCTTAAACGTGTTTTGAAGTATATTGATATGCACCAGCTTATTCTGAGAACTTCACATAAGTAAAATGTCTTACATGTGTAGCACTACAAAACCTGAATGAATTGTCATTTGACAGTACAGAACTGCTGACAGTGGAGTAAGCAATGCGTTATCTCTTCTGCAGCCTTATTGAACCCGGTTCTTAAGCGGTACACCTTAGTAGGGACCGACTGTTAATTTACATCATCCTCTCCCATTCTGCCTGAGGATTATCTACTGTGTCCTTCTGTTTTCTCATACTAGCAGATGATGCATTGAAATGGTAGGTTGAACTGAAGTGTGGAAGATGCTCAAGCTAATCAAACATTCTGCGGTATCTCTGCAGGTGTTTTATAGCTGGAGCATCGAAATGCTAAAGATTTAATTGACTGAGCGTGCAACAAGAACTGGAAATGACACAACAGCAATTCATTTTCTCCAAGAATACAGTGGGAACACAGGCTGCAGGAACCTTAATTAGATTTTCAGTTAAACATTTTTAGCAAGGATGGGAAGTTCAGCTAATTGAATCCGTTCTAATTTCCATCCTCCTGTTTGTCATTTTTTGCTCTTCATTTTGGGAGATATCTCGAGAAACAGCTCTCATTGTTCTCTGCTCATTGCAGTATGTGATGACAGATGGTAGGCAACATGCTGATGTGCGGAGTAGCTACGCAGAAGCCACAGGAGCTCCCACCTGTCTTCATGATAATGAAACTGAACTGGATCCACTCCGGTGACTGCTGACAGCCTTCCCTTTCCCCTCTCCTCCCAGTCTCCATCCACTTTAATGTGAGAAGTTGTTTGTCATGTATTAATAATGCCCCAAACATTTGCATGCTGTTGCAGTGAACTGTAGAAAGTCTAAAAGAAATGTGGTGTTCTGCCCTGAAGAGGTGTAGGTCTAAATAATAATTAGCTTTTAGCATCCCTGCAGTTAGTGCTATACACTATTTGGATTTTTTTTTTTTCTTCTTTTTTCCTTCTGTGTGTCTGGCTGATTGAGTACCAGTTACTGCACAGGTACCTTGTTTTGGTATCTGTTGATCTACTAATTCCAGACACGAGTTGTCTCCCAGAGGGTGATAGTGACGACTTATTTTAAAAGAGAGAGTATGTCAAATCGCAGTGTAAAAGTTAGCATTTAAAGGTGCTTTGTGGATTAGAGATGCATTGCTGTGGCACCTCTTTAAACTAGAAAGTCCTGTCACAATTTACCTGCATGCTACTGATGTTCCCAGGTCCAGGCGAAGCTGGCAGTAGATACATAGGTGGTAGTCAGCTCCATACTGGCTAGAGGGTTACTTTCTGAACCCCAAAGTAGATGTTTTGGCAGTTTCTGTAGATCTGGATATGACACTTTATGAGGAAATATTTCCTGGATGTTCTGTAGTTCAGGGTGGCTTGGGTGCTAAACTCACAGGTTTTAAGAGACGTGCTAGTTAAATTGATTCCAGAAACATTCAAGAAAGGAGCTTCTGAGAAAACTGGGCTTTGTGCCTGACTGTATCTCAGAATATCCTAAATGAAGCAAATAGTTAGATTTTAGACACCTATTTTAAGAAACAAATGTAGTCTGCTTCAAGTTATTTAGAAATCTGCATAACTCATGGGTGTTTTTTTTAAAAGATCTTCTTGTGGTGTTATGCCAAATGGCCTCTTACAAATTCCCATAACCTGAGAAGAAGGTACAAATATGAAAAGACCTGCACATTCTCAAGATGTCTTTGCCAGGTACAGAAGCTTGCCACGTTGCTTAACTGAGCTGTGCTTGTGACTCTCAAGTCTTTAATTTATCATTAAAGGAGGGGGTTGCGTTTCAAAGAGTGAATAGCAGGTTTGTGCCCCTTGGGGTAGCTTCTGATTTGTGCTTTTTTGGGGGGGAAAGGTGGAGAGACAGGAATACCGACTGAACACATGCTAAATAGAGTTGACTTTTCAGAGCGGACATTCAGTCCACTCTGCAAACAGGATCCGCTTGAAGGAGTTACATCTAGGTTCCCCAAAGCTGAGGTGGCCAGTGTTTGGTAGTCTCCATTTAAGTTTTTAAAGAAGGGAGTTCAGGTTGTAGACTGCCAGTTTTGGAGGGAGGTTGGTAAGTTATGGGCAGACTGCGGCAAAGCATGACTTTAGGTATCTTTGATAATATGTCTGAAACTCTGGTCGTCACTGTTGCTCTGACCTAGGGCTTCTGCTTAGCTGGTTATGAAGGGAAGATTTGTAAGAGGAGCAGAATATGCGCACTACTCTACTGCATGTGTTTCATTTCTGTCAGAACTTGAACCTTTAGAGGTGTAGGAGAGTTGGTCAATACTTTTATATACTCTGGGGCAAATTAACTATTTATCATTGGATCAACTGAAACTAAGTGAATTCAGGTCAAAGGCAGCTCACAGGAGCAAAAGAAGAACAACTCTTCATTTTGGTATTTTTAGAAATTAAACTTCTTTGACTCTACTTTGAAAAGACGGGGGTTTGGGTGTATGTTTGAATGCATTGAGACTTGACAAAGAAGAATACTTTGAACGGAACAAGTCAGGGGTTTTTGGTTTCCAGTTGGGTAAGAGAAGACTCAACTAGTTGTTTTCTGTTCCTTCTGACCTTGCACATACCGTTCTCCATGGGGAGGAAATGAATGCAATTCTGAAAGGGCTCCTTGGGGTGCAGTGCAGACTGCTAGAGAACTAAAACTCTTTGGGGGCTGGCACAGAAGGTTTGCCGTAAGGAAGTATGCCTATACAAATGCGAAAATAGACTCTGTATGTACAGATAAGTGCTTCTCATGATATGCAACCTAATGAAGTGTTGCAAACCTTGAGGGAGATGGCAGTTGGATGTGGGCTGAGTATCTCTGATCAGGAATGAGTTTCCTGCCAGCTAGCAGGATTTGCTAAAAGGGCTTCTGGTTACTAGGTGTTCCTCAGATGCTGCAGCTCTTCTCTGACAAGGAGCAAGAAGTAAGGAGAAAAGTCACAGCTCCAGGCACTGTTTGGTTTGGTCACCAAATAAAAAAAATTCAGTATCTGAGCACTGAGTCAAAAGCACCTAAAATACTATCCTAATCAGTGATTTATTTTAATAGTAAAAAAAATTTTAAGTGTTATTCTGTAATCAAAGTACAGCTTAATCGTAGTTCTAGCACATGCTAATTCAGATGTAAACCAAACTCTTTCGTGTACGTTTGCTGTTCTCTACACCACTTATAGTTGGAGGGAGCTAACATGATAGGGCACTGTACTGCAGAGGAGGCCACAGACCAAAACTTGCCTGATAGAAAGTGGATTATGAAACCACTTTTCTAGCAACCTGATTATTAAACAGAAGGTAAGTGATTGAAGTGTAATGCTTATCATGCTGAGCTGAAGGACCGCTAGTGATCTGTGAATCCCTTCTTTATGCTTTGCACATTCATGCATGCACACAGAGGGCTAACAGTTGGGAAGTATTTTGTAAAATTTCAATTAAAAGGCCATTCTTAACAGTATGTGAAGAAATATGCCAGCTTTCTTTAGATGGTAAAAGTGCTTCACAGATTTGTGAAATTCTCCTTGATTACTGTGTGTGAATGTTATCTTACTGAAAGTGATACAGCCCTTCTGGAACATTACTGCTTTGAATACCAATTTCAGTTACATTGTTCCTGCTCACTTTTTTTTTTTTTTTTTTTTTTAATTTTCCTCAGGGAGAAGTGTCTCCTTCCTCTCCAACTGGCTCTGGAATCAAAAAGCATGAAGCTGGCCCAGCAGGCTCTAGCAGGGATGCAGGTATCGCTCTAGAATGGGGGTTTGTTAGTAGGCAGTGGGTGTTAAGGAGATCTAGGCTTTTCTTTTGAGAAATACTACAGAAAAAGTGTCTGTCCTTGGGTGGACCAAGCAATAATGTTCATGTTTCTGTAACGGTGTTTGGAAGTTCAGATGCAAGTAAAGGCTGGTGATTCTGTAGAAGCTAAAAATGTTCTGCGGATAGGCAGGAGCTCCTGGCTTTCAACGTTGAAATGGGGACGTACTCTTCCTTGTGTGGCCCTGTGCTACTCTCAGTAAGCCTTGCTGCTGCTAAATGTCTTAGAAACTAAACTGAGTCCAGTTTTTCTGTTTTCATGGGTTAGAAGAGAGGACTGCAGTGCTTGAAAGATGGAGAAGTTAATGAAGGATCTGGGAGCTGGCCTTAGTGCTCATGATCGCTTAGCCTGGTCTCTCTCCAGTACTCCGTATCGCTCATACCAAACTAAACATTCTCCTTTAGATAGAAAAACATATTATTTTGTGTTAAATATATTGGCTTAAATCTCATCAGACTGTACAGTGCTAAAACACTTGATATACTGCTATGTGGGAAGTTATTTAAAGCGTTTTTGTTTAAAGTTCTTTAAAGCCTAGCTGGCAACTCAGCCCTACCCAGCCACTCGCCCACTCCCTCTCAGTGGGGTGAGAGAGAGTCGGAAGGGTAAAAGTGAGAAGACTCATGGGCTAAGACAAAGTTTAATAGGGAAAGCAAAGCAGTGTGTGCGAGCAAGAGAATATAAGGAATTAATTCACCACTACTCAGTGGTAGGCAGGTGTTCAGCTATCTCCAGGAAGGCAGGGCTCTGTCATGTGTAACTGTCACTTTGGAAGACAAATGCCTTAACTCTGAATGTCCCCGTCCACCCCCTTCCTCATTCTTTCCCCAGCTTTTGTTGCTGAGCACAACATCATATGGCATGGGATATCCCTTTGGTCAGTTTGGGTCAGCTGTCCCGGCTGTTTGCCCTGCCAGCCTCTTGTGCACCCCCAGCCTACTCACTCAGGGGCCAGTGTGAGAAACAGAAGGCCTTGATGCTGTGTAAGCTCTGCTCAGCACTAGCCAAAATGTGGGTGTGTTATCAACACTGCTTTGGTCACAAGTCCAAAACACAGCTATGAGCTCCCATGAAGAAAATTAACTCTATTCCAGCCAAAACCAGTACAAGCATAGAAAATAAGAAGTAGGAATGAACCAGTGAAATGTGCTGCAGAGTTGAAACTGGAAGGAGCATCAGTACAAAAATGGTGCAGAACGTACAGGGTGAAGTGGGCTGCTCAAAGTCTGCACTGTGACAAAGTGTGGTTTTGTTCCTGGGAGCTGAGACACAAGGTAAGTTTTGCTCAGTTGTGGGAAAGAAGATTGGAGCTGGGAAATGACTTTAGTGGGTACATCTGTTGCAGAATGCCTGCCACTAATAGGAGGCACCCATGGAAGTCGTTATAGACTAAATGGAAGGGACATTTCTGGTAGAACTCTGAGGAAATAGTGCTGCTGGCCATGTTGGGAGATACTGGCTTGGATACTGGCTTTTTTCAGGCAAAGGAAATTTGGTCAGTCTGAAGTTCAGTCAGTCTGTGCTGAATGCACTCCTGTGTATGTCTGTGGTCCTCACTAACAGTCCTCTTCCTCCTGAGGACTTGATCACATCCATGATTAGTCAGCTTCTGAATGACGTAAAACACATCTTGTCAGTGATCAGAAGTGCTTGTGCTCTGTCCCCTGTCAGTGTGAGTGGGATGATAGCTGACAATGTCTATTGCTGGGCAGGGTGTCTGATAGTACTAGTTTGAGGCCAGGATGCTAGCCTGAGTGAGGTTTTTTGGGTTGTTGTTTCTTGGGTTTGGGGATGTGCAAGGGTTCCACCCTTGCTCTGCTTCCAAAATGTGGAGAGGCTTTGCTGAGGGCATTACTTGGAGTCGTTTATGATCTCTCATGTCAGTTACTGATGTCTGCTTTCTTCTGGACACTGGAGCAGTAGGATGGGGAAGGATGATACCAGAATGGCAGCTGATTCAAAAGATGTTAACTGTCCCCTCATTGTGGCATAGATCTCCCAATTTAGCAGTACGTTCATATTTTATATTACTGGATCAGTTTGAAACTTGTACATAGAAAACCTAGCCACTGTCATACCAAACATGAATAGGTTTAGGTATAGTAGTTTACAGCAGAACTGGGCAGAGCCAGTTTTGTCTCAACCTGTACATTGCCATTTTCTTTCTGCAGAAGCTGCTGTCTGATGAGAGGTTTGTATCCGTGGAAACAGACTCAGATGAGAAACAGTTGCTTAATCAGATGCTGAATGCCGTCAAAGTGACTCCTTCACTCAACGAAGACTTGCAGGTTGAAGTGATGAAGGTTAGTGTTTCACACACGTCAGTGCTTGCAACCAAGGCTGCATAGCTGAATGCTGGGCTTAGCAAGCAAATTAGCTGTTGCCTTGGAAATTTTCACCTTAGGATGGTATTTGATTCCTTCTTTCCTGTTGGCAGATGTCAGTTGTTTTCATTTCTGCTTGGTTTGTGTTTCCCTGGGTTAAATAGGAGATGGTTTATATCAAGAGTCAGTGCACGGGTGGTGCTGTTACTGGGTTGGTTGTATGACTTGCCAGTACTGTCTTAAAAGGGTGACTACCAGTACCTGTATTATTTGTGTGAAGCAAGACGGTGGTGGATAGTTCTCAGATGTTTGAGTGTGAACTTTGTGTTACAGGGTTTGTTGTGCTATAGCTGATCGTTGGTCGAAACCATTTTGGAGCAAACCTGGTGATCCTTTTTGCATGTTCGCTATACCTAGTACTGATTGATATATTTGGATCTACTACCTGACTGTCCTTTATGTCTAAGTGCATAGATTAGATATTTTATTTCTTTCTTACATGTGACATCCTTGTTCTAATGAATGTGTTATCCACTCTGAAAGTGCTCCATACTAGCTGTACTCTTTGCCACTGAATATGGCTGCCTGGCTGTAACATGCACTCAGTGTCAGAATATGCAGAAGGGTAAGCCTAGCCGCAGAAAAAGGGGAGGAGTATTTGTGTGGACTGTTGGCCATTTTATGGGGGCAGACTTCTGCCCACATATGGGCTTAACTGATGACACCCAGATCTGCATCCCTAACCCAGCATGCCTCTTCCCTGCCTGTTTTGTCTCTGCAGTGAGAAAGGGGAAGAGTTAAGCAGCACTACTGAACCAGCAGGTCTCTCTTGGAATGCAGTAACTTTTTGCAAGCTGCTCTTTTGCCTTCTTGAATGTTGCAGATTCAGAATCTGCATGCGCACTGTTTCTCTGAAAACCATGACATGCATCTGTGACATGTTGCCCCCATACTGAGAAGAATGTGAGTGCTGTATTTTACTACAAGTATGAGTGAATATCTTCTCAAGTTTTCTTGGTATTTGAGAAGAGAAGAAATAAAGTCACAACCCAAAATGCCAAACCACATAAAACCCAAGCCAAAACCTAAGATTTTGCTTACGTACACTTTTTTAAACAAAAAAAAAAGAAGTTCAGTTCCAGCTGAAGTGCAAAAGAGAAAGGAGAACATCGTCTTCATTCCACTGAGTGAAATTTTAATGTACAAATGATTATCTGGCTAAAAGCGCAGCAAAATGCATGTGTGTTATAAATCAGGCTACATCTCTATGTCCTGAGCACAAAGCAATACTTCTATTTTGATTTAAATGTTTCAAGAGACCAGAAGGCCAAAACATATTGTAATCAGGGCAGTTAAGACTCAGAGGCATTAAGTCTGAGGATTGCCTAGAAGTCAAATCAAGTAGAGATCTTTTTATATTGTAACCTGAAGGTCACAGATGCCATTGCAATACTTGAAAATATTGTAGCTAACCCAGGTCTGACTGGATGGCTAAAGCTTTCAGGGGTTTTTCAAGCAGCTGGTCTCAGCAATGCATTTATATCCCTGGATCTACTAAAGTGTGTCTGAAAGGCAGCATATGATTGTACATTAGGCTGTGTTATTCCATCCAGAGGGGATTACATATACTCCTGGGTGTGAACAGGTTTGTGTGGAACTGGGTCAGCAGTGATACTGGCCTGGTTCTTTGTGACTTGCTGCACAGTTGCACCAGTCTTGAAGGTATTAAGAATGCAACCATCAAAGATTCTACAAAAGCGTTTAGTCATGCAAAATAGATATGAAAATAGAGGTGCAGGAGTACAGGCTTCACGGTAAGTTGCTGGCATGTAAGCTCCTGACTCAAATGTTTTTCTGTTGATTTTTTTTTTTTAAACCTATCCAAAATATGTCCTGTTGTTCCTAATAAATGTACACCAGAAATTCACACTTCATGTATTATGCAAAACAAATGTTTTGAGTATTTATTTTAATAGCTTGTTGTCATCCACCTGTGTTGCAGATGCGAGTGTGAAGGGATTTGATTAGCTGAGGAGAGCATTCTGTAAAGCTTTTTACATTCAGGTGACTGTGAGTTGGAATTGGCGTTGAAGAACATGAGAGAGTCATAAGTGCAGTTAGTTGTCTTGCTTGATAGCTTTTGGAACCTGTCAAATATTATTGTAAAGGGGCAGCATTAGACAGGAAAGGAGCAGAGTAACTGTGATGGTTGCTGTGAATAAATGGAGAGGAGTGCTAGCTGGACCTCTTCTGGCCCTGAAAAAAACAAGCAGCTGGGGCCACTGTTGTAAAAGTGGAACACCACTCACTTATGGCTAGGTACCAAATTCTCCTTATTTTAAAGGATAAGTATCGTGGTGTGCTCTGCAGGTTCCCAGATTGGAGGATCAGAAAAACAGCATGCTGGCAGTGTTCAGGCCTAAGGGACAGGGCTGGGGACTGTGCTGGAGTGCATCCTGGGCAGCCAGGGAAGACTTACACTGCCCAGATGCAGCTGCCAAGGTGAACTCAAAGCCTTCATCGCTCACCATACCTCTCTCCTCTGTACTAGGTGAGGTACCTCTTGTCCTTTTTTACAAACTTCCATTTAAAATGAAATTTTACTTTTTGTAATAAGCAAATACTAAACTAAACTCCAGGCTACGGACTGCTGCCAGTATCTCTAGTTCTCCTGAATACCAGGTGTGGATCGCATCTTTTTCTTAGATGTTTCGTATAGAGTGATTATGTAGGGAATTTCCCCCCTTGAATTTCCTGAGTCTGAAGTCCTGTTTATGTTTTTGCAGGACACCCTGATTATTGCTAAGCACCGGGTAATTCTTATGTCAACAGCAGTCTTGTGCTGAAAAGAAGGCAGTGGTCTTTTCAGTGAGGAAGGGGAAGGGACTGTGGTTTCTCTGTGACGTGAATGGGCACCTAGAACAAACACAGGTGTACTAACTGCATTTGATTTCCCGCATAGTAAAGCAAGCTTTCTGGGGTGCATAAATTTTGCATTCAGACTTGCAGATTATTTGACTACTGAGCCTAGTATTTCTTTAGAATATCTCAGTGGCTGTGCTGTCTCTGTATTTTCTGTACCTCTGATACATTTTGTGACAGAGATTTATTAGTATTTTCAAACTGGGGATTAAACTCAGGTTGTTTACGTGCTTTAAATCATATTAAAAGGTGTAGAGAAACCAGGTAATCCAGAAAGTGTGACCAGAGGGAGCAGTGTATCTGATGCAAGGCCACTTTAGCACTCACCTTTGCTGTTGCCACAATACTTTGCTATCACACTGAAATGCCCTCTAATATATGTAATATCAGTTTGTGTTTTTACTGTGCTCAGCTGACTGTATTAAGGGAATGGAAAATCACACAATCACACAGTGCCTTGCTGTCAATCTGCTTGTAATACATCAGTAGCTTAACTGCAGTTTTAAGTGGTATATTCTAAATATTTTCACTTGTATATTTTCCCTACGGTGTTTATGTGAGTTTGGAAGGAAGAGATATATTGATCACTAATCAAATTCGGTGTTTTATCAGTGAGGCACCAAAGTGACTCACTGCTCTATACAGTTGCAGATGTATAGAAAAAATAGGAGGGGCAGTAATTCAGCATTTACCTTAGATGAACGCGGTAATGCAATACGGCTGGCCCAGGAGCGGGAAGAATTTTGTTGTGTGACGTGGGGCCATGTTAGAACTGAGTGAAATGCAAGGGTATATATATCTTGCATTGAGAAGTAGGGACATTTTGTTGACCTTAAGCACTAGACTAACGAGCAAATAGTCTGCAGCAGAAAGGGGACATGTTCTGGATTGAAGATGAGTATCATGGGGTTGGGTTTGGTTGTGGAGTGGGGGGGATCCCGATTTCTTTCCTAGTTTGATGGTTTCAATTTCTTGCTTCAGATGTTTTTAAAATGGCTGAAGTACTTCTGCTTCATGCAATTAGACCTTTGCTTGCAGGAACACACAGAACATTCACAAAAACACCATCAGATATGGTCAGATCAGCAGTGGAAAAGGAAACTAATCTGTAGCTGAGCCTCTGGGTTGAGGTCCCTTACAACCTCAACGATTCTGTGATGTTCACTTTCTCTCTTTGATTTTTTTTTTTTTTTTTGTAATTTTTCATCTGTAACCCTGACCTTGAAATCCAGTTCTTTCAGGAAAGGCTTCTGGAACAACTGAAATTCAGCTTTGAACATAACTGTGGCATCGAAGCAGGTGAAACCAAATATGAAGGAAGCGGGTAGGGCGAAAAGAATCCAAACATCAGGGACTTTTTTTTAATCTCTTTTTCACTGATGTTATAGTGACTTTCATTTATAAGTTGACAGCAGTACCTCTCTCTCTCTAACTGTGATATTATTCTCAAATAACAACAAAAAAAACCCCCACTAGTTTAATGAATAATTGCAAATTAGTAGATTAGTCCTCGCCCAGAAATAAGCTCTCCAGATAAACTGGATATACTATAATGTAATGAGTACTGATGGTAAACAAGTATTTTTTAAAAAGAAAGGCATAATTGATCATTTAGATAAAATTTCCCTTTCTCCTGCCTCCATTTGTTTTCTTCAGTCGCAGACAAAGCTGTCATGTAATCCAGTGCATGTCAGTTCAGTCTGTGCCCAGATTTCCCAAGAAATTTACAGCTAGCAGGACAGAAATTTTCAAGCAAGAATGAGAATAATTACCTTTTATGAAGGAAACTCCATTTTCTGATTTGATGTCTTTTAAAATATTTGGTCTGTATTTCACTTTTCTAAGTAGTGTTATTATGATGTGCTAGATGTATTACAAATATATATTACATTTCTGTGAGTGAAGCTTCCAAGCTTTGCTTCTTACTACCTCTGAGAAGACTTCACACAATATTTGTGGCTACTCTATTTGTGGTGTTTTTTGGAATAGACTTGAAGATTTTCGGAACCAAAAAATCTTTTTCCAAAGTGGCTTGAGAGACAGAACACTCTTCTAAT